ATCGGTCAGCACGTCACAGTTCTGCATCCATACAAGAAAAAGAAACACTCACTGTACAACCAGCCACTTTCTCCACTTGAAAGGAGAAAAAGATACATTGCAATGTCTCTTCAGAAAGTAACATACCTGTTTAATTCCAATTCTCTGCAGAATGTTAATACATGCACAGCTCAGTTTACATTCCAGCAGACTGCCAGTGTGCCAGGACAACTGCACTACTGCGCGTGCGCAGCAGTGATGTCATCCCATGCTGGCCAATCAAAACAGCTGAAGACTGGCACCCGGAAGAACCCAGGGAGATGTGTGCCTTTATCAACTGCCACCCTCCTGTCCAATAGGGATGTGTCCAGCTGCTCTCCTTAATCTACATGGCTAAGCCCGCCAGGAAACTGTCACTTGTAATTGGTCAATTATTTACAGCTGAGGAATTCCCTGCCGTGTAGACAATATGTGCCCTTGTATACGTGTGGTTGTAGGGGAGGGAAAGTGACGGTTTCCTGGCAGGCTCGGCCATGTGGGTTCAAAAGATAATCCAAATATGCCCAAACAAGCCACTGTATTAGTCTCTGTACAGGAAAATTACAGGTGGCAGAGCTTACCCATAGAGTCAGACCCCAGTCACAAAGTAAAATAAATCACCAGGTAGCTAGCATTTACAGAATACAGTTGTCAATTGCTGCCTATATAGAGATGGGATCATTTATCTATTATTGCACAATAAATCAATGCAAAGTAAAAACAGCAAAGCAGACTCCTGAAAGACTTACTGTAAGATTACATCTAAATGTATCAGTCCCACCCTCTGCAATACTAAAGAAGCACTGCAACAGAATAAAACCTGCCCTTGACCAATTCTTAAGCAGCCCATAGATCATTCCATTTTCTTTCAGGTGGAAGAAAAGGAAATTGCTCAGTTTCCCTATCAACACATTCACTGTTGATGGGGGAATCCCTTCTGCAGCACTATTGTGTTCTGCTGGCAGGGAGCCTTCCCTGCCGCAAGAACACAATGATCACTGCTGGCAGTTATAGCTAATAGTGGCAGTGATCATTTGAAATAAAGAATGACAGGCTGGTTGTACTGAAATCGATCACTGAATCAACTTCAGTACAACCAGGCTGCCTATACATGGTTCAAATCTCGTCCAGTCCCTGCAGAACCAGACGAGATTGGATTAATCTATGGCCGGGTTTAGTTGTGATCTTGTTTAGAGTGTAATTTTGTCTCATCTTCAGAGCTGAACCTGTTGCACATCTGCGCAAATCTGTTTCACTTTGCTGCCCAGGATCCCAAGCACAGATTCATGCATGCCACTGAGTCGCTTGTCCCTTATTAACAATTATTTCTTTTGCAACCAAACTGATCAATTTAAAGCAGAATAAATATAGACAGATGGTGAATTGCTGTGCCTTCTGAAAAAAGAACAACATGTCAACATGTATAGAATTAGATTTTTCCATTTAATTTAATATGCAGCATGAAAAATACTATTTATATCGTCTGTAGAAAACCCGAAAATGGAACCAAACTTAAAACACAAAACGTGGCCAGCAGGTAGACTTTATAAGTTTCTTCTGCCTTTGCTTAGGCTAGTCATAGATTACTCTTTTTTCAAACACAAGGTGAGTTAGATCGACATCTGTCGAGTGGGAGTGGCCAAACAAGGAACAAAGTTTAGCTGTTCCTGCTTAACCGGATGGATTTTGGTCCATCTACAGCAAGCTTTAGGCTGACCATACACATAGACGTCTTTTATTTGGCCTACTGGCTAAAAAAAAAAATCTAAACAGCGTGGATAGAGGAATCTCCTGCTGCAGCTACTGTTCAAACAGCTGGGAGCTATCAGAATATGAAACTCCACAACATCTGAGCACTAAAAACGCTATTTATTTCATTCGTAATATTCAAAGCACACTGACCCATCCATTCATGTCTTCATCCTTTATTTTGCTGAGAAATCACTTTGGAAAACACCCTCCTTGCATTTATGGCCATCTTGAGTAAGGGCAGATGATTCATGTAGCATTTACTTCCTGGAATCCATCTGCCCTTAGCTCAGGCATGCAGACAGGAAGGTGTGCTTAGCTGAGAAAACCCCTCTTTCCCCCCTGAAGACTCCTGGGATGTATGACATCATATAAGCATGGAAACCAGAAAGTATCTGAAGAAATGTAAAAACAAGTACATAAAATATACTTTCCTATCTATTTACTAGTGCCAGCAGTATAAGGACTAAAAATGAAGGATTAAGAAATAAAAAGGTTGATTGAGAGAGTGAAGTTCTGCTTTAACAGTTCAGCCTCTGTTCAGCCAACTATTATGTGCCTTTGTTTTTCAATCCAGGGATGTTTGGCTGGAGGGTGCTGACAGGGTCACCCACAAAGCGAATTTTGATCAGTTCATTGGGAACCAGCTGAAGTTCAATCAGTGTATGGCTAATTTTACCCTTTACCGAATGCGGCACATAAGGTAAATCCAAGTCTTGGTGGAGTAGCCTTTAAAGGATATGTCTGGGGAAAATAAAAAAAAAACATACACAATACAGCTCTGCAATACATCCACATTTGCCCAGGTTGTATCCTTTTAAAGACCCTGCAGGTACAGAAAAATACCTGGTGATCTGCCAGATTGCCTCCTAATTTCTTATTGTGGGCTGGCAAAACACAGCATTTTCATGTCCTAAATGGTGTCAGCCCTGCTCAGGTGACTTTTACTACACTACTGAATTTTTCAACTGTGCTCATCTCTACAACATGGGGATTAATTGTTCTGTAGTCCAAGATAAGAACTGGCAGGGAGAATTACACTCCTTGTGATGATATAGGAAATGTGCACAAAACACAGGACACATTGGACTTTCTGAAAAGATGAGCAGGTTTTTTTTTTCTTTTAACTTACTGAAAAAAAAACAAAAACACATTCAACAGTATAATTAACAGACCGAAAGGGAACAAAGAGATGCTCATTGTTAGAGTTTGCATGCACGCTAAAGTGACATTAAAGGCAATTAAAAGAAAACTGTCCTGATCCTCCTCTTCTCAGGTTCCCTGCCGGTGCTCCTGGCCCCTACCTCTTGCCAAGTGACCCAAGAGCAAGCAGCTTGCTATGGTTGCACCCAAGAAGGCTCCCATTTGAGCTACTGCTCTGCGTGTCCATTCACACACACAAGTTGCGGCTCGGCTCCACCCCCTCTCTCTCCTCATTGGCTCACTGGATCAAGATGCCGCTCAGGTAAGTATTAGGGGGCAGCTGCGCTCAGAAGGTTTTTTACCTTCATGCATAGCCTTGAGCCTTTATAACCACTTTAAACTGAACCGTGATTGAAGAATTACACTTTCTACCATCCTAATCCCCCACAACATAAAAAAGCGCGGTTTTATTTGACTTTTTTTTTTTTTTCTTTCATGGTCGACCTGCCCCAATTCTCTCCTGGGGGAGGATGATGTGAAGCCTCCACCTGCAGCCTCCAGGGATATGAACATCAGAGAGCAGTGGTTAACCACCTCCCGTCCAGCCGTATATAAACAGCCGGACGGTGGCAGTGCAGGGTCGGGTGGTCATTTATAAATGGCCTCCCTGCACCCTGCTTGTGTGCGCTCCCTGGGAGCGCGCAGCACCGCAATCCGGTGCCGGCTGTGTCCTCCGGACACAGTGGAACATCGATCGTGATCACATGCAGAGTGATCAATCAGTGATCACATGCAGAGTAGTAAGCAAGATGTCACTTGTAACATCATTGCTTACTACGTGTGAAATCTGTGAATGATCACAGAGGTCACATGGTACAAGGCTATTCACAACAGCCTTGTACCATGTGACAAGCTGTGACTAATCACAGCTCACTCAGTAGTTCTCAATGGCTGCAAGAATTCATCTAGAGAGAAGGAGAAATGATTGCTTTTACATCCTTTCTGAAAAAAATCTTCATCACCCCCCACCATGGTGACACTGCACTGCTAGGGTGACTGTAAAATAAATAAAAATATAAAAAAAATAAAATAAAATTTAAAAAAAATGTTTCAAAATTATAATTTTTGGATATAAACTAATTTGGGTTATTTTTTTTTTTTTTACTAAAAATATAATGGAATAAATTTTGGCCAATATTTATGATGAAATATTATTTATTTACAAAATTTTATAAGAAAAACACTTTTTTTCAAAATTTTTGGACTGTTTAATTAACATAGCAAAAAAAAATAAAAATCCCAGTGGTGAATAAATACCACCAAAATAAAGCTTTATCTGTCTCAAAAAAAATGCTAAAAAATTCATATGGGTACAGTGTTGCATGACCGCGCAATTGTCATTCAAAGTGTGATAGCACTGAAAGCTGAAAATTGGCCTGGACAGGAAGGGGGTAAAAGTGTCCGGACTGGAAGTGGTTAATGATTCATACTCTGAATGGCCTAGGGTTGTTAGTGGTGTATCCCAAGATTCAGTGTTGGGACCCTTACTTTTTAATATATTTATAAAATATATATATAATAGGGTCTGAGATTAAAAATCCCATTTCAGTCTTTGCAGATTACACCAAGCTGTGCAGTGGAATAACGTTCTTACAGGTTGTCTTCAATTCACAAACCGACCTCAATGCACTGTTTAATTGGGCAACTATGGGGCAAATGAGGTTTAACCTCCTCGGCGGTATGATTCTTTCCGATTTTTTGTGCTGAAAGCGGTACCATTTTTTTGCATGGAAATATGTAGTTTTTTATTGTAGGCTGTAATTTTTAGGAATAACTCACTGAAATCTGTACGAACAAGAGTCTAGTAAACATCCCGGGTATGATAAAATTTGAAACACAAAATCATAAATTATAATTTAATAAATAATCATAAAAAATAATAATATAATAATAATAAATTTAATTCAATAATATAATCAAACCAAAAACACTGAAATTTGAAATACAGAGGCAAATTCGCACATCGCTGAGCAAAGTCGCAAAATCGTTTTCAGTGTCTGATGACGAATTTCCCCACGAATCATTATCACTCAATTCTGCAAGTGGTTCTGATTTACTATCGCTGTTCTCTAGCCAGTCTAAAACCGCTTTTGACGTAAAGGGACGCTTTTTGGACGCCATGGACATGGAAGTTTCCGGGCAGAAAGAACAGTCAAAATGCAGGCAGGGCACAGGACAAAGCAGTAGGGACAAAATGTATGTGAAATGCATAGAAACAGCAATGTTTTACTATGTAATAATCATTTTAAAAAAAATGAACTTTTTAAAAAATTTCAAATTTGCGCCGGTTCCGGCGCCCGTACGTCCCGACGTCACAGGGACCGGAACACGGAAGCCGGAAGCCGGATGCCGGCATCGGCCGGAGGAGATGGCCGGGGACGCTGCAGGGGACACATCGTGGGAGCGAAGGACAAAGGTAAGTGCTGCAGGGACTCCCTGAGCAAGGCCGCATGGTAAGCCCGAGTGTAGCTCGGGGTTACCGCTTTTGGTACAGAAACTTTACCCCGAGCTACACTCGGGAATACCACCAAGGAGGTTAATGTTGATAAATGTAAGGTTCTGCACTTGGGGGCTAAGAATATGTATGCATCATACATACTAAGGGGGGTATAACTGGGGGAATCAATGGTGGAGAAGGATCTGGGGGTTCTGGTGGATCACAGGTTAATAATGGCATGCAATGCCAAGCTGCGGTTTCTAAAGCGAGCAAAATCCTCTCTTGTATCAAAAGAGGTATGGACTCCAGAGAGAGAGATATCATATCACCCCTGTACAAATCATTAGTAACACCTCATCTGGAATATGCAGTTCAGTTTTGGGCACCAATTCCCAAAAAGAACATTGGGGATCTGGAGAAAGTACAGAGAAGGGCAACCAAACTGATAAGAGACATGGAGGAGCTCAGCAATCTCCAAATACAGAAAGGTTTCTTCACAGTAAGAGCTGTTAAAATGTGGAATAGACTCCCACAAGAATTGGTTCTGGCCAGCTCTGTGGATTGCTTTAAAAAAGGCCTGGATTCTTTCTTAGATACACCGACTATAATGGATACTAACATTTATAGGTAAAGTTGATCCAGGGAATATCCAATTACCTCTTGGGGATCAGGAAGGATTTTTTTTCCCTGCAGGAACAAATTGGATCATGCTTTGCTGGGTTTTTTTGCCTTCCTCTGGATCAACTGTGGATATATGATTGTAACTTTTTTTTTTTTTTTTTGGTTGAACTGGATAAACTTTTGTCTTTTTTCAGCTAGACTAACTATGTAACTATAACCTAGGAGGATGAAGGCTTTAGCACAGCAGTTGGAAGAGGAAGAACCTGGTGCGGCATCATCACAGGACTGGCTAGAAGAACCAGGAAGAGACAGCTTACTCCCCATGACACACAAAAGGTAAATGGTAGCATGTAACGCTATATGCATGCAGTAGAAAAGCAAGGAGAGAGGAACAGGCAAGAAAAAAACAGGTTTTAAAGGGATTATATGTTTTCCATAAATAAAATACCATAAAAATGTATATGCCATACTGTGAGTTAAACAGGAATGGGTCAAGTTCCTCTTTAAAGTGTTGATAAACCCACAACAGTAAAATCAGTGTGGTGTGTATTGCTAGAGAGGGTGCATGTGATCAGCACAGGGCCAATCAGCGCTGTCCAGAGAACAGGGGTTATGCAGCCTCATAGGACTGTCTGAGGAGAATGAAAACTCCTCCTAAAAGATTAACCAGTGCTTGGCTGGACACTGATTGAAAATACAAGACTGATATATACTGCTGATGAGAAAAGGTATTTAGCAGTTTATATTTACTGAAATTGTTGCATTTTCTTGTTCTGTGTACTGTGGGAGACTGGATATAGTGAATGCAGAGTCCTGGGTTTAGTAACACTTTAAGTTGTGGAATGTGTATACAGTATATGTCCCACACATATCAGTCCCCTACCTCTACCCATCACCTTGTCACTTGTTACAAATTTACATTACAGTCAGAGTGCAATACTGGAGAAGGGAAAACTGATAAAATGCTTCCTATTTCCTGCAGTAGGGCAATTTCATTCTCCCAGACTCCATTTCTCACAGATACAACTAGTTAAGAGTCACCTTTGTAGCTCCCAAAAACTGTTTTTTTTTTTTTTTTTTTTTAAATTAAAAAAAAAAAAAAAAAGTATATTATTATGTATATTGCTGCTGTATATTTTGACATGACAGGTAATATTTGTAAAGTTAATGATATGTTCACTCTAACATTGTCCCTAACATGACCAGTTATACATCCTACTCTGACCCTTACTAACAGACCCTAAAAGAACCCCTCCCTATGATGACTTGTGCACAGACCAATGTTTTGGAAGATTTATTGATTATTCAAAGAATGTTCGAATACTACAAATGATTGCAAGTAAATGAGAATTATCACAGCTCCAAAAAACAGAAGATAGCTGTTAAAGCGAATCCTGCAATACCATTAAAGCCCCACACTGGGCAAAAAAATGAAAGAAAATTCACATTCCCTCCCCCCAAACTAATCCTGCAAGTCTTTTTGTTTTTCTTACCTGGTAAAGCTAGCTAAACTCACCTAAGTTCACCGCCAAGGTCCATCATCACCATTTGGACTGCTAATCCAAAGCGAACAAATGTGCCAAAGACCGTTGCTCCCCTACAGTTCCTTCCACTGACGTCATTCCTCTTCTGATTCCTGCGAGGATCCCAATGCTGAAGAGCCAATAGGAAGTGTTCATGTCACACAGTCAGTGACACTGACACCCTAAAGACTCCACTGGAAATAAACTAAGTGGGAAGAGTAAGAGGGAAGACTCAGGACCTGAGTATCATGTTGAGCCCGCCAGTGATTTCCACTTACAGTGGAACTAAACCCATCGATTTAGCCATTTCCAAAATTATTCCATGAATGATACTCTCACAGTTGCTTGTGCTCTCAACTGAATTGTCAAGTCATCAAATAGCTGGTATCATAACTGATCACATGTGCAGCGCCATGGCAACTACAGATCAAATAGAGGCCACTTTAATTTCTCTTCCTGTGATGGTGTGGCAACCATGCTGAACTGCTCCTAAATTCAGAGCAGAGTTGCCACTACAGTGGGATGAAAAAAAATGTTATGGCTATCAGCAATGGCACTGCTAATCCACAAGCCTGCAGTTGATCAACTGGCACCTGGCCACACCAAGCACTGCCCATTGCTTTCTGCATTGGCAGAACTGCCTGTGCTGCGAAAACCCTCTAACATTAAGCTGCAGAGTTTAAGAGTGGGAGCATTGGAGACACAAATGAAAGAGGATATGGCTCATTCAGGGGAGGTAAAGAAAGTTTTTTGTTTTTTTTAGTTTTTATTAGTGAGGCTTATGCATCCCATAGTAGCTGGATTTGGTACTTGTATAGATTGTTATACAGGTGTCTTTATTTGTACTTTAACTTTTGCAGCAAACAACCCAACGCTAACAAATGTCCATCTTTAGTGATTTGCGTTTTTTTAAACCTAAGTTGATTAGTATAAAAATACAATTTCATTATTCACATATTATTGAGAAAAATATCACTTGCTTTACTAAACATAAACAGATAAAAGATCTATATTGTACGATGATTGAGTAACAACATTGGATGATACCAAACGCACAAGACTAGAAATAAGAGGTAAGGTACAAGGAGGAGAAAGGTTTACATTATTGATTTGAAACTGCAAAAGCATGACACTAATGCACAATATAAAACAATCTAGATTATGTTTCAAGTCAAGGCTGACCTACATACAGTGCGCAGTGCCTTAAAATGTAGACTACTCTATGAAGATAACGGAGGGCAAAAAAAGGAGTAGTTAAAATATTGAACTTCACACTGCAGGTGGAAAAATACAAACCAGTACATTGAATAACTGTTAGATAAGTGGGTGAAGGGTGATCAGAAGTAGTAACAATAGAGATTTATATTCTGTAAACAAAGTTACAGCCCCCATGCCTAAATTTGACATAATGTTTGATAAAATGGTTTTCAGTCAAAAGTCACATCCTCGGTAAAGCTGGCCATGCACTAGTAGAACTTTTTTCAAATGTTTTAATTTATAAAGTGTTACTAAACCCAGGACCCTGCATTCACTATATCTGGTCTCCCACAGTACACAGAACATGGAAATGCAATTATTGTAGTAAATATAAACTGCTAAATACCTTTTCTCATCAGCAGTATATAGCAATCTTGTGACTTCAATCAGTGTCCGGCCGAGCACTGGTTAAAGCTTGTAGGAGTTCATTCTCTTCTGACTGTCCTAAGAGGCTGCATGACCCCTGACCCTCTGTCTGAACAGTGCTTGATTGGCCATGTGCTGATCACATGCACTCTCCGGAAAGAAAAAAAAAAAACCTCTTTTGCAATGCACACTAAACTGAGAATGCGCAGAAAGACTCCTGGAGCTCTGTACTATGTATTATCTGCAGATGGATTGGGGACAGTAGAAGAAGGGGAGGATCGGAGAAGACAAGATCAAACAGCCTTTTTACACAATTCAGAGAATTAACCCCTTAGGTTCTACAGTGAGTATGACAAGCATGCCTTACTGCATTTACAGACTGATTTTACTGTTGTGGGTTTAGTAACACTTTAAGAGCGTTTGTTCATTTTTATAATCATTCATGGGGTTAAATCGATGTTTGTTCTCATCAGTGTGGAGAATTTTTGACAAATGGATTTCTAACAGTATGTGCGGTTATTGTTTGGTAGACCATTTATGCCAAAATCGAATTTTCATTCATTAGTGGAGTTAAATTGACGTTTGTTCTCATTACTGTGGTTGAATATTTTTGAAAGAGCAGGATGGAGGATTTTTGACAAATACATTTCTAACAGTGTATGCAGTTATTGTTTGGTAGACCATTTATTTAAAAATTTAATTTTAAAATCAAACAACATTTTGAATACTAACAACATTTGTCATCATGGAACATATGGAGAATGTTATGTATGAATTTTCGTACTAAAGTTTAGACAACCAATAGTTTGAAATCTACAACCCAATTCCAGAAAAGTTGAGATGCTGTTTAAAATCTACATAAAAACAGCGTGAATGATTTGCAAATCTCATAAACCCATATTACAGTTTTAAAAGAAGAGGAGATGCTACACTGTGGTTACAATGGCCCTGTCCCAACATTTGTAAAACTGGGGTCATACTTTGTCAACTTTTTGTTGCCCTGTCCCAACTTTTTTGCTGCCATCAATTTCAAAATTACCTTATTCTTTTTTCTTTCAATGGTACATTTTCTCAGATTAAAAATTTTATATATTTTCTATTGTGAATAAATAAGTTTGAGATTTGCAAATCATTACATTCAGTTTTATGTAGATTTTATACAGTATTCCATCCCAACTTTTTTGGAATTGG